TTTGCATGTCATTGTTGAAAACAGTTTTGCTGATGAATTTTCCAGCGACCCTTTTCTTTGTTAAAGCTTGAGTTACGATTTCTGATGGTAAACAACTGAAACCTCAACAAAGTTACTTGATCCTAACATTTAAATACTATATAAATTATTATTTACTCACTCTGTTAAGTTCTTCATAAATGTTTCCTCCGCAAAATAAGGAAAACTATAACATTAAATGACATTTGGTAAAAAGAGCTAAAAATACCAACCAAAAACTTTCAAGGAAGTGCAAACACCAGGAGAAACCACGTGATTCGGATTGTTCGTTGATCGTAGTCTTGAACTCTAGGGGCTGTGTCACTGTTCAGTTTTCTGCTTTTTACCTTCGAAACTTATTTTATTGCATGCCATATATAAATGTTGTGCCTATATTAAAGGACTGGATACACGTTTTTTTCAACTTTTGTGAATTCGTGTCTTGTGATATGCACAATGATTACAAAGAGTGTCAAACAAATAAATTACAATTATAACATGTATAGTCAAACTTCGTTATCTCGACTTCGATGGGACAGAGGAATAGCTTCGAGAAATCCAAGGGTTCGAGATATTTAGGGTAAAAAACACATATTTATTGGTTGTATGTTGTTTAACGTCCCATTCGAGAACATTTCACTCATATTGAGACGTCACCGTATGTCGGTGAAAGGCTTCAAATTTAGATCTATATCGCACTCCGGGTCATTGAGCAGTGAGGGTTCTTTATCGTGCCAACGCCTATCGTGACACGGGACCTTTCATCCAAAACTTTCAATTCTAATGCCGGGCGCTTGGCGAAGGAACGTCTCAGGTTTGACGCGGTGCAGCGAACGAGAATCGAACCAGCTAGGGCCTCCCGATCACGAAGCACATAGAAAAAAGTGGTTGAGACTTCCAGTTTTGGTTTTTAGTGTTCCGTTGTAAATCCTGATACATGTGAGTAGTCTTTACTTCGCAGACACATCGTTTCAAAATAAAATGGGGAAAACAAATCGGTATGGTCAATAAGTCCTCAATGACACGCACCAATCGTTTTAATTTCAAGGAATAAAAACACTGTATACCTTGCAAAACAATTTGATTTCAGTTGGAATTTCTCAATGCATTAAGCATTAATTTTATGTTGATGAAAAATTACATGATTAATATTAATGCTTTAAAATTTTAACTGCTATTTGCGTTGGACGTTAGATTAGTTGTCTATAGCAGTGTGAAAAATTGCTACTATGTACCTTCACATTAAAAAAAATCCCAAGATAACCTTTGCTGAGATGTAGAAATTTTAACAATATTCAAATGTGTTATATGAACCCTGAGGTGAAACCTTCAAATCGTTTGACATTCAACGAAGGTCATTTAATGTTCGTCTCAGGTAGGGACTAGACGTGTATATGACATCACAATACCTGCAATCCAACAGAGACGCACACGAGAAAAGGCAGATCGATCAAAGTTTTATTGTCCAATATCAACAAATCTTTGATTTAGTGTTGGATGAATATTAGAATGATCAAAGCAAAAGTAGAGACGTTTATTCTGGACGGAAATTGACAGACAGCTGATCTTGTGACGAGGTGTGTCACGGCGGTGCTGATTCATTCAGGTGTAAGCTGGATTAACCGATCGATTGACTCTCCGGAATGTGAAGACCACGCGAGACTAATGGATTTTCTATATTTAGTTTGTTTATTAACCTCAACATGTGTTTACGAAATTTTCTGAGTTCAAAGTGATATGAATGGTATTCATGAGGAACCTTTATAATTAGTGTAATTATTATTTGACTATTGATTAACTCATTATGACAGGTAGTCTTTAACGATACCTTAATTAGTTAATGGTTAGAGATTAACGGTACCGGATTAATTAAAGAGAAAGTGGTCTAGTTTTCATAGTTATGGTGGAATAACGGATTTTACGGCAGTGAGGGAAATATGGCGATAATGGACGATAAATGGATGTTCTCGTGTCTTCTAACTCTCTGTCTCATTCAGACGACTCTCACACAGAATGGTATGTTTATTAATTACTAATTTCATGTACATATGCATGTTATATAAGCTGTCGTAGTCTGGGAATTCGCCCTTGGGGCTGTGTTTAACAAAGGTACAGACTGTCGTAAAACAGTTTTTTACAAGAAACTATAAGTTATAAAACAATGCAAAATACATATGTACATGTTTGTATAACACCGATAGAAAGAACAGCAGTGCAGTGGTCCTTCACACCCTCCTACCCCCCACCCCCACCCCATCTGTCCCAGTCCTTAACTAATACGTATAATCACTTTTAGAAAACAAATAAGGATGTCCGCTCTTATAAACAGTTTTGATCAGTTTATGTTTCAGTGACTGTTTAGAAACTTTTTTTAAAAATAAATTGTGGTTGAAAAAGATATTATATATTTAAAAAAAATCTTTGTTTACAATTCAATCAGTTTCGTATTCAATATCATATCTAGAATGGATATAAGCTAGGCTATAAGCTTCAATCTCTACCTTGGTGTTATAGGAAAATGTAGAAAACACAACCTTACTGTAGAATGTACATTTAGATATGTTTGACAAAATTGTAAAGCCTGTATTTTTATATGGATGTGAAGTATGGGGTTATAATCAGTCATCATTAGTTGAAAAATTGCATTTAAAATTTTGTAAACATATTTTAAATGTAAAATCATCTACACCAAATTTTATGGTATACGGTGAATTAGGTAGATACCCTATTTCAATTAATATTAAGGTAAGAATGATAAGTTTTTGGTGTAAATTATCTTTTTTACAGGGTGATAAATTATCATCAAATCTGTTAATTGTTTTGAAGAACTACAATAATCCATGGTGTAACTTTATCAAATTTATACTGAATGAATGTGGGCTTTCTTATATCTGGCAAACTTGCCAACCAGTGAATGTATCCTGGCTGAAGAAAGTAGTTTTTAACACTCTGTATGAACAGTTTAAACAGTCATGGTACAGTGAAATGTTTAATTCATCTAAAGGTCTTAATTACAGAATATATAAAACTTCATTTTGTTTAGAAAAGTATTTAGTATCTTTGCCTTGTAAGTACTGGAGATTACTATGTAGGTTTAGAACTTGTAATAATAAATTACCGATTGAAGTTGGGAGATGGCAAAATGTACCAAGAGAAAATAGAATTTGTAAGTTATGTTCAAAAAATGAAATTGGTGATGAATATCATTACTTATTTAATTGTAATGACCCATCTATTTTGAAATCAAGATTATTACTATTATCAAAGTATTACTATTTATATCCAAATGTATATAAGTTTGAACAACTTTTTAATACAAAAAATACAGTTAAGTTGATAAAACTGTGTAAATTTATAAAAATTATCTATGAGAGAGTTGGCTCTCCTGGTTAGGTCATTGTTAGTTTTTTGACTTTGTACTTTTTCTGTTTCACGCATGCACATATGTTTAACTATATTTGTAATCTGTCTCTACACTGTACTTAATGTCAGTTTATGAGAATAAATTCATTGTCATTGTCATTGTTGAGAGACAGTCAAACTTTATGAAAGCTCTCCTTACGTTAGGTATATGTACGTCCGATTAAACATTTAATATACGTTAATTGTTACACGTATAATTTTCAGTTTAATTTAATTAATATTCTCTGAAAACAAGAAAGACGAGAGAAATTCTGTACAAAATATGCTACATGTATCTGAAAAAAAAGAGACACGAGAAATGCGCAACGAAACTCTTTACTTTGAGAAATCATCAATTTGATATGTTTTTTTGGGAGGGGGGTATTTACATTCAATGCACAAAATGAATGAGGTGCGCTGACGGATGTAACAAACTGGAATTTTTTAAATACATCCTGTGTACTTCACCTGATCGAAGGAAAAGGTGTCATCTACACGTGGACTTATATAAAAAGGTGAGAATACGTATTTACCTGTAATATCTAAGTCCTGGGGATAGAGACCAGAACTACATGATGTTTTATATGTATGGACAGAGATTATGGTTTTTGTTCTATGATAAACAAATGTATGTAAGTGTTGAATCGACTTGTCGTGTTTGATGAAGAACCAAACTAATATCTACATACTTATGTAAAAGGTGCTAATACTAGTATAAACAATACACGCAGAATGCAGAAATTGTAAAACATATGCAAAACCATCGCATTGCATGTTGCATTCATTATGGATGGTTAATAGGCAGTACACATGTATTTGTTATATCTACATGTATACCACAGGTATGTCAAAAAATGAAATATCAGGAAATAAATATACCATTCAGGTTTTCCGTCTGTTTGGAGACGTACAGACTATAGAGATTTCTATAATACTTGTACAACGTTGTTGTACATAGTTCATAAATACAAGAATTTATTTCTGTTCAGTCAATAACGAACAAAATAAGCTGAATTAAATCCTAATAAGAAATCATCTCAGTAAGGTAAGCAATGACACACCTGTATCAGCAGATTGTACACAGGTAAAAACGCATGAGTTCATCAACCCAGGGTTACTCATACGGGAATTTCTTTTTAAAAAAAATCACCTAACAAACCGTGTCAATCACTGCGTCAGGTCGTGCACAGACACCAGATATTTTTTGAAGATGCGACCCAGCTTTGATTCCGAAGGTTCGAATACTCTGCATTCTAATTAAAGTTAAATGACACAGACCACTCAAATCCATGTCCAGAAAAGTACAATTTGGATGTACTTTCGCCTAAAGGATTAAGGGGATTAATGAATCAAAATTAAAAATTAAGTAGACAACTTCAGTGCGTGTCTGATATCGGGGCCAAGGTTGTATTCACAAAAAACAAAGCTATTTGTTTTAATTCATTAAATCTCGAGACTTTTTTTACGATGCAAACTTCTGTTAATGATTGATGCCCACCGCTATTAATCAAAACTGGAACTGATCATGTTATCTACCTTTTAGAGTAATATATACTACTGGCTTAGCGCTAAGAAATACTTCTCGCTAGACGGCGCCACTTCATGTTTATTACCTGTGGCCACCAGGTGTAGAGATTTTTCCAACATGGCGATATCCATAAGCAAAATTACGGAAGTGTTTTCTGCGTGAGTTTTGGTAAACAAAGCACCATGTTTGGTATATCAGTTTTATCCAAAACGACACAGCCTTACTATTTTTTCCAGCAATACCTGGATTAATTTCGTACCCGAAGGATTACCTGAATTTACTGTTAATCGCTACCTAACTGCCTAAGTGATGTGATTCTAAACATATCTTCTGTAGGATTTTTCGGATTATACATATCCGATTGTTGATTATGAAGCATATTGTTTGAAATCAACAAAATGTTGATATTGATGAACCTAACAGTATCATCAACAATCATGTGGACATTTTTGCACAAAGACTCTCAAGTTGTTTGACCTTATTTGGGAATTAGGTCAGCTTATGAAATTGTCGTTTCTTTTTAATTTGTTGACTATCTGTGCCATGAATATACAACGAAGTTCTAAGAAATTATAAGACACGATGAAAGTCAAGAAGATGCTATTTGTTTGCCTTCTGGTAAATACCATGTGTGTCATGATCGGAGCATTTGAATTTACAGGTAAGCGCTAGAATATTTTTTGTTATTTAAGTACACCTTGCACTGGCACGTAATATCTATATGTAATGTTAAGTCCTTAGGGGGAATTTACGCTCAATTTCATGTTTGTTTGCTTGGTAACAAGTTTGTTTTTACCAAATAACAGCAATAATTATTGATGGCTTTAAATGTAAAATAAAATTATAACTGTAGTCTGTGAATGTGTTAATGTCTCCGTTGTCAAAAGTGCAACAAATTTCTGTCATGTTTTCACGTGCATCAAAACACCCGAGAAGACGAGAAAACATTAAAAAGATAATTTATTCCAATAAGAAAAATACCTATTTTATTTTATATTAAATGTATAACTTCTAGTCTAGTGCACCAATTATATAGTCTTACCAAAAATAGCTCCCAAGACTCTTCATTTAACAATAAATATATCAGAATCTGCATTATGCACATACATGTATCATTATAAAAATCAACTTTTGTCCTATTTTAACCCGAAGTACGTTCTTTTAGAACTGATGTACAATGTATATATGCTAACTATATTGCAAGTCATCCATGACTGAAAATTCTGGGAGACATGTTTTAAGTATAATGCGTGAAAATAAATTGATTTATTGAAATCAAATACAATTTACTTAACATCAATGCGATGAAATATATCCAAAATTAATAATACCATCACCGTTAGTTATTCTTAATATACATGCAAATACTTTGCCTTTTATTTAACCAACAGAATATATAAGTCGAGGTCAGAATTCAAGTTTGTCAAAAAGCATTTAACGCTGCAATCCCCGTCCAAGGTTTCGGCTCATTTAATTATATGCAAAATTATTGCACATTCATTAGCTGATGAACAAAAATCTCTAACGCCTGCCAAAGATTGGCGTGGACAAATTTTACATCTTGAAAATAAAAGCACAAAACGTCACACCTGGCCTTCCATGAATTTTAAGATTGTTAATGAATCTACAAAGTTTCTTTTCCCCTGCATCACCAAAGACAAGACAATGAGTATTCTTTAGATGAAGGAGATTATATACGCGTGACTCTGTTGCTGATTTTACACCGTTTTTGTTTATATAATTAACTCCCAGGAGTCTATAAATGTCTATCTATATTTAAGCAGAAATTAAACTGTCACAAAGAGAACATCCCTTTGAAGTTGCTACACATTTTTAAATGAAAAATTGTTGTAGTTTTTACTAAGAAATTGTTGCGTTATTTTTTTTTTTAGATATAAAATTATACTGCACTTTTATAAACAGGTTAGTTACCTTCTGTTCGGAGTCCGTCCGAACTTCGGACCTCAGGCAAATATTTCATCACCAAAAAAGAAACGTCATAAACTTGTCTTCTCATAATTTACCAGTAAAATAACTTATTCCCAGTTTAATAAAAAGGTGAACTTCCATCCTCATATTTTATGCTTCAGTGCTTATGTAAACGAATTATCTTTATTAACTCCTACCGGGCACTGATCCCCCCCCCCCATTAATTCTCCCCTGCATTGTAGATGTAAGTTTGAATGCATGTTTATTTTTAGTGGATTTTGAGAACTCGGCGGATTGTGGTCGTACTATCACGGTCTCTGACTTGGACGTCTTCACCCTAAAGGCCAATCCGAACCCTACAACCTCCGGGGGAGCGGCGTCCTGTGTGGTCAAGTTCAACTCGGCCTCCCAGTTCGTCGTGAATGTCCAGCATATCGACGTCACAGACTGCACTGCCCGGCTGTATTTCTATGACAACGACAACACACAGAAATTTCCATCGGTACGATATGCAATGTATTTTCTCAAATTTCTTCGCATGCTTTGCTGGAAGAAGAGAGACAGCTATAATAGGTTCTGATTCTAGCAAGTGCAATAAAGCTGTAAATAGTTGTTGTTGTAAATTCTACTTCAACTTTTATGAGAACCTTGTTCACTGAGATCAATGAATGAAAATTTCCTCTCAGTTAATTTTCAAACTCAATTATAACTGTACTTTTCAGTATTTTAATGCAGTCTAAATTTCACTTTTCTTCGTGTCCATCTTTTGGGTGGAAGAATTTTGTGTTAAAGTAATTCTTATAGATTTGAACGTTATAATATTCTTAGTCCAACAATAAAACTGGACTATGATATGGGCACATATTTTCTTTATAAATTTTTTAAAAATTCTTCCTTGTAGCAAACGTTGTCTTGTATTCCTACCACTGGCGCAGGACAGTCCTTCCGGACTCGTACCGGAAACCTTATCGTCCGTCTAGATAAAGGGTCCGGAAGTACGAAAGCGTATAGTTTCAACCTTGTCCTAACTACTACTAAAGGTAAACCTGCATACTTCATTAAACAAGTGGTTCAAAGTGATAGTCTATAAGACGTCGTCAATATCGGTGTACATGCATACCAATTTGTGCAATTTGCAATTTAGCGCATGCTTATTTGTATGTATAATGGTATCTGGAAATAAATATTTACACATCTAAGGTTGGTTTTGTTTTGTTCAGAAATTATATACAGATGAAAGATATGAAAATATCCATATCAATTGTCGAAGTAAAACAGATAAATCGATCTATGTCAATATTGAACAGAGACCAATGTCCTCTGAATCTCTTATCGACATTTTGTGTAAACTTCAGCTAGAGTTACCTGTTCCTATGTCCCTAATCTACCTGTGTGACCCCACAATTCCTATCCCTTATACGTGTGACATACCTGTGTATCCCGGGCTGGTTGATATGCAATGTTTATTCCTATAAACAAGGACTCTGAATGGACTAATGCACTGCTGTTTGGGTGTTGTTTTTACTTTTTCTTATTTTGCCAATATGACTTAATTTCATTTGTACATATGTTGGAGAAATAACAGCGTAAGTTATAACTATGTTTTATTTTACGTTGTATTCTAGTATATTAATTATTCAGTGTCGTATCCGATCAGTTTTCTCGTGGTTTGTGATAAGCTTGTGACAAATGTTTACAACATACAGGTACTATCGAAAATTCCCTGTTAACTTGAAGCAAATACATGTATCCTTGGTAAATTTTTTTTTTAAAAGTATTATTTTTTATTGAGAAATTATAAATGCCATATTAGGAAATTAATATTCATGTTTCGAAATTAAGTTGTTCAAAGTTATAAGGGTAAAATGTCAACGAACACGTCATTGACCCGTTTTGACGTGTTCATGATGTGTTTTAATATTTCGTATACTGTAAAATGTATCATCAAGTTACACATATTAAAATAGTGTATTCTATGTAAAAGGTAATCCAGATTGATTTAGGGAGAGCATTTGTACCCAGGCAGCTATTTTATCATTCGTTGCTACTTCCATATAGGAAACCATTCCACGTTTCATTGAATACAATTTTGTTTATATATGAATGATGAGAAGTGATGATTCTTTATTAGTTAACAACAAAAGATGTGATGTACAGACTTGGTTGAACTATTAACTTACTATTTCGACATCTTTGATTGACAGGTGTGGTGTCCAACAACGTTGCCGACACGGGAGGGGGCGGTGTCGGGACGGGTGCCATTATTGGCATCGCGGTGGGCGTGGTTGCGTTCCTCATCATCATCATCGCTGTCGTCTGCTTTTTTGTCTGTCGGCAGATGGCACAGCAGAAAGAGGAGAAAATGCGCCAACTACAGCCCAGCGTCTTTACCACAGGTACTAAATATAGATCTTAGAAATGTCACGTGGTTAGTGGTGGTCTATTTAATGTTCAGGGGACAAAATATGGAAGATAGATCGAGTAAATTTTCAAATTTGTTAGTTCAAGAGCCCAAATTTAGAATTGTCTTTAGAATTATAAGAAAGGTCAGTAATTTCAAATCAGCATTTATGAAAAAGTAAACATCCTCATATCAATTTTATAAAGTCCTTCAGTTTACCGGTACTCAGAAATGTTTGTTTTCTGGACATTGAAAGTTTAGATTAGGAACATTATAGGTCGAAGTGAGGGTTCTTAAATAGAAGTCATGGTTATAAAGTTTTCTGCCTTTAATTTCATATTCAGAATTATCATATACTGAAAATTAATATTCAGACCACCACTGGCATCTTCTATATTATTTCAATTATTTTAGACAAAGAATATAAAGGTGGTAGATGTCAAATTAATGTGTTTTATGACTTTTAGAATAGTTTTATCTTATTTACACGTTCAGTATATTTCAAGCCTTACTGGCACGTATCGTACACGTTTGTCCGTTTTTACTGGCACATCAAGTTCGATTTCACCTCCTGTCGATTTTTATTTTGTTACACTTGGTGGTCCTTGCTCAAGGTTTAGGCTTAGATATAACAATTTTATCCATGGTTTGGTCTTTCAGTAGGCGCTGACTTTCTTATATCTAAGGTGGAGTAGACTGCATTTTTCAAATCGGAGAAAACGTTAGAAGAGAAAATCGGGTAAATTTTACATATTTTGATTGTAAACTGTTTTCTACGATGGAGAGGTTTGGTTTGCAAGTACGCCATCTCTGTCAGCAACAGTTGAGCGTCCAAATTATCGGTAGAATTAAATGTTCTTTGCCAATAAGAGCGGATTCCGGTCTAATATCAAACTGAAAATTCTGAATTTATCGGGTGTTGACAAAAACCGAAAGATATAAATAAAATAAATGATACTGGTTTAATCATTTGAACAATCTGTCACGTTCATTTTTAACGTGGTAGTAGTTTTGCGAAGACACATCGGTTATCTAACTGTCCTGTATGTTAAATTCCGGTGTATTTTTCAACACGATTTGCTGCATGACGAATAAAGTTTTTGGATTTAATTAGCGTCATAAAATTTGAATTAGGTATGTTTTGCATGTATTTAAAGCATTTTGTAAATATCTGCTTGGTCTCAAATGATACCACTTTACAAAATCAATGATTACATTTCTAAAGACTACAGACATGGTATGACCTCTAGGAGGTTTCCTGTGCTAGATACACGTTCTACCTTTAAGGGGGGATCTAAGTTTCTTCAGAAAATTTTTAAGTAAAAGATACCAGTTGCATGCATGGAAAAAGAAATTTTGAACACTCCCATTGAAAACAATAGCGTATGTTACCCCGAATTGACCTTCCTCCGTTTCCATAGCAATGATGGCTATTTGAAAGTTCCATGCATGTACACTACACTAGGTGATTATTTTTATTGTGTAGTTTTATAAAGATTGTCCAAGCATAATTATACGAGAACTCCTTCGGACAAGATTAGGTGGAACATATTTGTCCACCGACTTTGTTTTAAGACACAGTGAAAAACACTGCTAAATATGAATGAACCTTTAAGAAAGATCCATGCACTGCGATAATTTGAATGCATGTATCGAAGAATTGGCAAGGGTGATTACTTGGAAGGAACAGAAGACTATTAGTTTTATTAGTGAGTTTTATACATGTGCTTTGATGTGAAAGTGGATTGCTAATGTATGATGATATTTAATTAGATTTTTGTTTTTTAGTTGTAAATGATTGGACAACCAGTTATTATTGCAGTGTAATAATCTGCTTTTGTTTCAGTTGGATCAGACCCAACGGTTATCATAGAACATGAAGGAGACAGACAAAGGAATCGGGAGGCAATTCCCAATCTCGAGGGCTCCTATTCACGAAGACACCGGCCCTACGACCCACCGGAAGGCAATGATTACCAATTCAGACTTCCGGAAAAGGCTCCGAACGGAATCCTTAAGGGATCTCAAAGGAGAAGTCGAAGGAGAAATAAGGAAGGAGGGGATGCAGGCCATGACAACGAAGGTTATACTGCTTCTGTTAGCAGCACGGATGACAGCTGTGATTTTGATTTTGCAACATATAAAGAGAGTATTCAAAAAGGATTACCCGATTCGCAGAGAGTAAAGCATCTCAGTATGGACCCTGATCCTCCCAGAGCGAGGCGGGAGAGATCGGAAAGGAGACGGCAGGAGAGACCAAGTAGTCATACTAGTGACTCGAGTAATGATGACTTTGGATACACGAACAAAGCCTTCACAGATGAGAGAGGTAGATCACAATCTCTAGGAAAGGCCGCCGGACGACGCCGACCTTCTGATGAGGATGATACAGCAACGAATTACACACGTAGCACAGATAGAAGTTATTCACCCTCTAGGACTGAAAATAGTTCAGACACGGGTATGACATATGAAAGTCAATTCAAAAGGAATCCTAACGCTGCTAGTATACGTAGGAGCAGAAGTCGAAGTCAGAGTAGATCATCTTCAACTCGTTCTGTTCCCCGGAAGCATCGTCCTCATTATGATCATACTGACCAATCATCTCAGGGGTCGCATGGGTCACATGGTCATTCGTCACATGGACACCACCACCATCACGGCCATCACGGATCACACAGATCCCGTTCGCGCGAGAAAAAGAAATCTCCTAATTTACCTATTTTCGACGAAGTGAAGAAAATGCAGAAAATGAAGAAATAAAACTAAGTTTAATAGTTTTTTTTTTTTTTTTTTTTTTTTTTTAAAAAAATAGATGAGTTATATTTACGCAATTTATTTTAGGATGTTGTATGAAAGAGATGCACGTTGATCATTACAGAAGAAGTGTGCAGGAATATCCATAAATTCTTATTATCCTTATTCTTTCATAGGAGAGACTGTCGGTGAAATTGTATCCATTTGTAGCCAAAGATGTAGACGTCAAACAATTTTATAACTCATTTTATATATGACATATCATATTGATATTTACGCGTAAAACGCAACTCATATGGCTTAATTAACGTTTTGTAATATATAATTATATATATATATTGTGTATAGCACTGATATCATTAGATGAGGGATGTGACATGGACCTTTTTTTTTATATATTTTTCTCCACAGTGTATGTTTTATATTATTATTGTTTTATCAAAGAGTGCTACATATTTTAATGACTATTGTATATTTTGTTACTGTATAGCTTAATATTAAACACGAACAAGTTTAATCTTGATGGCAGTATAAGTCTTGTGTTTGGTTCCAGTTTCTTGCTTGTAGAATAACAGCTGCAAAGAATTGTAAGCATGTTTTTCCTATATTAACAAAAGTTAAAACACGTTTCATTATAAATTTTGAGATAACAATTTGACAGTTAATAAAAAGAAAAGTGAATGTGACATTCTCATGAATGCCTTTTTGAGCGACAATTTCAATTGCATTTTTTCAATAGAAATGACTGCAAATTATAAAATTTCAAGAAAATTTTCCTATTTAGTAGGACTTTTTATTTTTTAATTCATTAGGTGTAAATTGACTTATTCTAAAGTACTAAATGTATGTGTTTTATGAACCATTCAAATGTTAATGTAAACTTTGAGGATGTGTAGAAGAAGATATGTGTTTTTAAAAGTATTGCACATTTTACTGAATTTGTAGAAATATTGTCAATTTAGGACTGGAAATGTATAAGAACTGTCATGCAAATTTTATTTTGATTTAAATAATCAATGCTGTAACATTGAAATGTAGGTACTTATTACCATATACTTATAAATGTTTTTGCAGATACCATACATGTTAGATTATATTGTTCCAAATCCTGTAAATGGTCCATTTTCTAGCATTCCTTTTAAATGGCAATTGAGTCATCGCAAGAATTCTCGGAATGATAATTAACATTATAATGAAAAGTCATCAGTGATGTTCTTCAATAGAATTCTGTAATCTTTTCCTAATTAAAATTTGAAAATAAAATTTTTGTTTAATAAGCTTATCAGATTTTGTTTGTTTATTTCTCAAATATATATGTATATGTCAAATATACGTAATATGTGATGCAACTGATAAGTCTGTATACTAGTCTCTTTAGGTAACTAAAAAGTCTGTATACTAGTATCTATAAGTCCGTTCTACTCAGTTAAGCTTTCAATGTTACTTTTGAAATGAAAATCCTTTATTAAATAAACAATTTTGTTTACAGCTTCTTCCAGACAAGCTACCGCCCCAAGCGCCCCACACCTAAGCACTTCGGGGTCACAACATGGAACTCGACAAGGAAGTATTAGGACGAGTCAACGAACCAAAAGATCACAAGCGTTTGAAAACAAAGCTTTTAGTGACACTAGCAACGTCTCCGCTGATTTTGTTGGAAGTAAAGCTTCATATGCCATTATATCGGATGGCAGTGTTGATGGGAAAAGTTCCATCAGAATGCAAAATCTTCAGAGGAGCGGGCGAACCGGAAGTGCTCGGCGAGACAGGTCAGTACCGGATAAAGGTCTTTCTGATGATGCTCGATCAAGCGTGAAGTTTGATCTTCGATCTGATTCTGAATTGGGAAGAATCAGTCGACCGTTACAGGGTGACTCCGCGAAAAACAAGATAGGGAAAAATACAACTCCGAAGGAGTTCATTCGGACTGCGAATGGAAAAGAAAATGATTCTACGAAAACAGTCGATAGAAAATCGGAAAAGACAACTGAGAAACCAAAGAAGTCAACAACAGAGGGAAAAGATTATTTCCGAGAATACACAAATAAGGGATACGATGAAGACGTCGGTCGTTCAGGGAGTGTTCGAAAATCCAAATATAAAGAAAGCAGTTCCTCGAGCCATAACTCTTCAAATATGCATGAACATCGCGAAAGAAAGAATGATGTGTATCGTTCTCGGAGTAAGTCTGAATCCCGCCACGAAAGAGAGAGATACCGAGAATCAGAAAGTGACGATTTTTATATGGAACAAAGACATCAAGATCTTTCACATCGTCGTAATAGCCTAGACCGATCCCATCGAAGATCCGATAGCCGAACTCGGAGACGTGATGACTTCTACAGCGACAGAGAGTCAGATAGCGACGATTTCTATCGCGAAAGAAATCGTCGAAGTAAAAGTGCTGACCGCCGAGGAAATCAGAGAGAACCAGTTCGAAGGTCAAACAGTAGGAGTCGAAGCCGGAGCGATTATTATGATGACTATCGAAGTGACGATTCCTTCATAAGAAGTACGAGACATCGTGATTATCGCGATGGTTACAAAAGTGACAATCGATATGACAACAGGAGTAGTTACAGAAGAGACAAACGAGACGGGTATCGGAGTGATAATAGGTATGACTATCGAGATGAGTATAGAAGAGATAATCGATACGATCATCGTGATAGACTTGATTCTTTCAAAGACCGAGAAAGAAGAAACCAGAGGGCATCTTATGACCATAGCAATGGTCACAGGTCTAGGGCAACATCTGTAGGAAGTGCTTATTCCAAACAAAGATCATCTAGATACGTCAGATACTAGACAGATACTGCCAGAATTTCCCTCACTGCCGACTATGTTCACTACTTACTGCATGTTAGTGTCCGGAGTTGTCTATTTCATTATCTAATTTCTTGTATCAAGACGTCATTATAATTACATATATGTTCGTTGTTTGTATATTTTAATATACATGTATATACGAGTATACGCTTGCAAGTAATGCCATGAAGGATAAAAGATGATATGATCTCAAATTTTTATATAGATTCGCATTCCAGACCTTGTCTTGAAAACATTTCATTTTCTGTTCATTAATCGCTCACTAATTTGAATTACTTCACGAATAGCTACTTAGGCCAGACAGTACTATATTATACCTCGGAGGCAGCAATGACACATTATGATTTTGCCATTAGTTATTCTGTTTTGTCTGTTATGTACATGACATAGCATTTATATTAAAATCTTATACTTCGATAAAAAAATTCTTCATAACTTTTTTTCTTCCTTGAGTTTTTCTCCCGCTTTAGCATTGTCTTTTTTTCCACGTATGATACAACTTAGTACGTAAAACAGAACGCTTGATGAGTAGGGGGAGACAACCCAGCATTAAATGTTTTGAAATTTCTGACTTGTATAAAGATGAGCATCGTCAGATACTCACGGGTGATCTCGTCTTTTACTTATCAGTAAATGAAGAGACCACCCTTGGGAATCGGACGATGAACGATGAGACGGTCGACCGAATCAGAATTACGAGAATTCAGTCTGCAGAGAGAAGAGATATGGTGCCTTGCCTCAGGATCTCCCTGAGTACATTATCTCTGGATATCAGAAAAAAATGTTCAGATAAAAATCCACATTGAAATTCTGATGCATAAATTTTGTATGAAATATTTACTTATTCGATGTTAACATGATTTGGTTAAGGTATCCGATGAATAAATAATAAAAAAAAAATCCACAAAGACTTAGAACAAGGAAAATATGTAGATATTTCCTAGATCAAAGTAAATGAGAAAGCTTAACCAAGATTTCTTTTTTTAACCAGACGTCTCTAAAGAATATGTAGTTCTACTGGTTTGTACTTATGACAAAGGAAAAGGAGCACTTGGAACTTGAAACTGTGGAAACAACTGAATGATCCTTGGTTTAATTTCTTTTTGTGGCAAATTTTATTTCAATTGAATTAAAACTGTAGGAGGAGTAGCCTTTTAAAAGAATTTCACAGAAATTTCTGTTTTTAGTACCCATGGCAATACCATTTGTCAAAATAAAAAACAGATACACATAATTTCGTATCTTAGACTGTAGTCTACTAGTGGACCATGTTTTATTTGAAATCAGACCAAAACTGTATGAGGAGTACATTTTGAAAGAATTTCACAGAAATTTCTATTTTAGTATCCACGGCAACACTGTTTATCAATATCAAAAACCGACACACAGAATTACATATCTTAGACTGTAGTCTACTTTGTTCCAAGTTTTAATTGAAATTAACTAAAACTGTAGGAGGAGTAGCGTTTTGAAGGAATTTCACAGACATTTTTATTTTTAGTAACATGGCAGCAATGTTCATCGAAATCAAAAACCGGTAAATGAATTATGTATCTTAATGTAATCTAATTGTGTGGAAAGTTTAACCGAGATCAGATCAAAACTGTAGGAGAAGCAGCATTCTGTAAGAATTTCACAAAAAATTGTAATTTTTACTAACCATGGCAATACCTTTCATCAAAATCAAAAATTAATATACAGAATTATGTATCTTAGTGTACTCTAGTTGGGTACCAAGTTATATTGAAATCGGACTGAAACGCTAGAAGAAGTAGCATTTTGAAAAATTGCAATTATTTACAACAAACAGACAGACGGACGACGGACACCTTTCTTTCGCATAAGCCCTTCTGTCTCTGGCCAGTAGAGCTAAAATTATCACACATGTGATCTTTTTAATTAAACATAGAAGCCTATGGGTAGGTATCATTTAAATTATAAATGAAAAGTAATAATATATTGAAAAGCATTTATTGGAGAGATTCATAAGTATTCTTTATTATTTGGTGAATTGAAATTCGAGGGGAGATAACTATGTCAGCTTGTCAGATCTTTTTGTTGACTTGTCACTTATTCATGGACAACATGATTGAATATATAGCATGAAAACCAGGGGCGTAGCTTGACTTTAAATTCTAGTGAGGCAAAAACATACATGTAGCAGCAGAGGTCTGGGGAGTTGGGGGTTTTAAAATGCAATGAAATTTCATTCGCTGTACTGGTTTCTTTATTTAAGACTTTAGCATGATACTAGATATTGTAAAAGACTGTAAAAGAGTTAAATATGTTTACCAATTTTTTTTAAACATTTAAAGGTGAAAGCGCATCTTATTAAACTTTGCTTTAATTTCTTTAAAACTTCAATTCAACATTATAGAACTGCTTAAAATGTTAAAAGAAATGTCATTAATTTTACGTATTATCTGCATTGTATTGTTAATTATAGGAAGGGGTGGTGGTGATGAAAAAATCTAGTGAGGCAGTTGCCTCATTGCCACAATGGAAGCTACGCCCCTGATGAAAACGTGTCCTTGTCCAGTTTGTGACAAACAGTTGACAATGTATTTTTCTTACAGGTCGCAAGAGGATCTGACAAATCGACTAAAAGAACTGACAAGTCTACAAAATAAGTCGACATCACTTTCTAGCAAGTCTTCATAATTATCCGACTTGATAAAACTATCAACTATATAATTGATGCAAAACATACCGGTAATAAATATGCATATTAGTTAAAACAATAATGACTACCACGATGGATTTAAATCACTTGTTTCCGGTCTTATATAAAGAAAAATTTACGAATTCATCAAAATAATTCTGTATTTTATTTATCAAAAGAACTATAGATTTTCATGTGTGTTACAAAAATTTAAGTGGCCCCACTGCATATCCATCATAATTTTAGAAGAATCATAAAACCTTGATCTTGACTATAATCCTCATCAAAACCTGTGTGTACACAGCAGTCGGAATGAATTGTTATATTCAGTCCATTGTGTTTTTGAAAAACATTGAAAATCGCATTGAAACCCAAAATATCAATTACAATACTTGTACAAAAAATCAGCTACAGATGCACAGCATCCTAACACTGAGTATAAATTATTTATAACCATATTTAGAGGAAAGGGAACTATACCGGTAAAACATTTCAAAAAAATTCTTTATAGACTGCAAAACAATCAAAAGGATGTAATTTTGGTCTCATTGTATGACCTTGACATAGGATAATGACCTCGACTTTTTGACCATATACTATAAATTAGGTGACTTAGCGTAACATACATACATGTACGTGATGATGTGGCAAATATTCCATGATCATGTTGCACCAAGATAGACACGCTTAAACCAAACAGGCTCGAATTCTCGATCGATTTTTATTTGATCATTTATAACATGATATGCAAGGGGAAAAAATTCATTTTGCACTGAATATGTCGCCTTCGTTCAGTAAAATGTAACTCTGCACATGGGCGGATACAGGATTTGTGATTGGGGGGGGGGGGGGGGGGGCGTTGATAACTTCGTTCAGGCAGGGGGTCTGGGGGCCGCCTTAAGACCCCCAGTGGGTCCAGGGCGAAGCCCTGGTGGGGGGCCCAGGGGGCGAAGCCCCCGGAAGCTCCTGGGTTTTCGTGTATTTTAAGAGTGAAACCAGGCACAATAATAGTGGTATTGGTTAGTTTATATGTACCAAAGTTTGGCATTATTAATACTAATCATATCATACTTTGAATAGAGGGGGCCCAGGGGGCGAAGCCCCCGGAAGCTCCTGGGTTTTCGTGTATTTTAAGAGTAAAACCAGGCACAAAAATAGTGGTATTGGTTAGTTATATACTTAAGTATGGCATTATTAATATTAGTCACATCATAGTTTGAAAATTTTAGGGGGGGGGGGCGTGCGCCCCCGACCCCCCCCCCCCCCCCCTTAAATCCGCCAGTGCTGCATACAAGTAATCGGTAAAAGATGGATGAATTTGGTACTAAATGTAAGAAGTCGTGAACTACTTTTATTATATACCAAACTGTTTGTCACTCAGTTTTACTGTTGAATTTATGCAATCACGTGACGGTGTGATCCGGCGTTCCGGATCACCACACTGTGGTTTTCTGAATCCATATCACCCCTCTCTGAAACTGATGACGTAGTACACAGATAAATGACGTTTTTATTCTTGCGCATCAAAAAGTTCGAAGACAAAATGGTTTGTTTAATGGACAAAAGTTAGGTAATTGATCCAAAAAGTGTCTTTTTATTATATTTTGCTAGCTGTAAAGGGGTATATAATAAATTTATCATTATTACAGTAACTTGATCCGAAGAGTCGTCTCACGTCTCGTTGACAGGCGCGGATCATCAGATCAAACTCGACGCTTCGCGTCTCGTTTGATCTGATGATCCGCGCCTGTCAACTTGACGTGAGACGGCTCGTCGGATCAAGTTACTGTTATAATAATATATATAACTAGATGAGATCTCGTTGCGAGCAACGAGTGGGTCTTCCGTCCGATTTTTGATAAGATGAGATAAGAATTTGACTGAGACTTTCGTTCAAATATAATGATATAAATAAATTGTTAAGACGAACAATTTTGCTTCAGTAATCTATAACAAAATGTTGATCATTAAAGATTATAGATTAAAGACTTTCGACCCGTCTTGGTCCCTATTTTGAGGGGCCAGCCCTATTTTCTTGCTATCTTCTTATAGCTCTCATGATTTTGAACACTTTTTGTTCAACAACTATTCTACATTTTTTTTCGTTTCCGAAATATCTGCAAAAGAAATAATAGGGGCCGGCCCTTCAACTCCTTAATGGGAACATTCAGCAAAAATTGAAAGGTAACATATTGTTCAGAACCTTATTGTGAACATCTTTTATTCAATATTGCTTATCAAGATATTTCCCACTTTCGAGATATAAAGCGTCAAAGATTTAGCATTCTGGCCCCTAATGTCCCTTTTTAACGTCAAAGATTTAGCATTCTGGCCCCTATTGTCCCCTTATAACGAAACATATGATGCCAACAACTTTATATAGTTAAGGAGTGTGAAGATGATCTATTCTGCCTTAGTAATGTATTACAAAATATTGATCGTTTAAGAGTTATTGATGAAAGACTTTCGGCCCCTATCAGCCCTTATTTTGAGTGGCAAGTCCCTTTCTCTTGATATCACCTTAAAGCTCTTATGATTTTGAACACTTTTTGTTCAACAACTATTCAGAAATTCTTTTTCGTTTCCGAGATATGTGCAAAAGAAGTATTTAGGGGCCGGCCCTTCAACTCCTTAATGGAGACGTTTAGCAAAAATTGAAAGGTTACATATTGTTCAGAACATTATTGTGAACATCTTTTATTCAATATTGCTTAGCAAAATATTTCCCACTTTCGAGATATAAAGCGTC